ATTAGTTTGATACTTCACAACACAAAGTGCAATAATTGTTTTTAAAAACTATAGTTTCTGTTTATGTAATTTTAAATATAAGTTTCAATTCCTTTTATAGTAATTCATAACAAAAATTATTTTTCTGATAGTGATAACTATTTTTTCAATATTATAAGGAGTTTATTTCAATGTTACCCGATCTTAAAATTTATAGATTGTTTTCAAAATATTGGTCAAATTAACATATTTTTTTGCAAATGTAGGTAAGATTATATAGTATACATTTTTAATAAGTTTTTTTTCTTTAAAATTTTTCAAACTGACCAAGCAAAAGAATTTAGATTTTTGCATTCTCATATTAAATCAATTTCGAATCGTTGTTTCATAAATTCAGAAAGGAATAGTTCAACATCTACCACATCTCCTTTCTTTTAAATAACAAAATGCTTTATTTTACAGAAATTGTATAAATTTCCGTTTATTTAAAAATTTCTAAAACACCCTTCTATGTAATTCTTGTACATATAAATAAATCTAAACCTGAAAAAAGTGTGTACAACCCATATTTTGTACGTGTTTTAACTCGCAAAATACTAACACATAATTATTATAAGCCCTAATAAAACTGAAAACACACTAAAATGAAATACCAATAATATCAAGATATATCAAACTGTTTACTCTTTGGGAATATCATTAACTTTTTTCTTTAAAATTTTATCCCTTGAATCCGAAATATTTTATACTTTATGGTCATCCTTATATTTATAGCAACATATACAAATAGTTGACCATGTTATCACCCTTTACCACAAATATGGTCTGTACTTGTTTTATAGCTACGTACTTTGAATGCTCTTTTTGTTATCAAGATTCGAGTTTATTCTAGTATTCAATTCCTGTGTAAACTATATTATTTTATAACAGTAATAGTAAGGAACACATATAACAAACATAATTTTTTTTGCATACCATATGTAAAAATATATACATTTACTTGTGCGGATTAGAATGGAGATTATTAAAATAATTTTAAAAAGAATTGAATAATAGTATTGTTTCAAACTTAAAAACAATACATTTGAGAAATACATTTGAGAAATTAGACATTGACAGAAAAGCGAAAATACAATGTACAATGTAATTTACAATTTTATAAAATTTTAGAAAAAGTAACACAATGTACGTTCTATTTTCTTGTTAATTCAAAAACAGTTTGTAACACAAACTTAGATCTTCGCTTAACTTTTTTTTCTAATAAAATGCTATACACGAAACTTTTCTAAATAAAATATAAATTTATTACAGTTCCATTTGTTACGCCGGAATTACAACACAAGTAAAATTGAAGTTTTGCTTCGATTTAAAATTATTGAAATTTATTAAAAAAATTTTTATTTGAAAAACTACATCATGAATGTGTGATAATGTAAATTTTATATTCATTTCGAAATGTAAACGTCATTGTCTCAGAAAAACGAACAGTAACCTCATATATACATACATACAGTCCTTTATAAATTTGATAACGAATTCGAAAATTCTTAAATATTAAACAAAAAAAAATATACAACTCTGATAAAAACAAAATTAAAAATGATCATATATTTTTTATTGAGTATGTATGTATATTATATATATATATTTGAATATATTCATACATGCTTTGACCATAATTGTTTCTAAAATAAGGCCTTTTAATAAAGTACAAACTACTAGGGAAAAAGAAGTAAAGGCCGAAATGATTGCGTCTATTATAGCTGCATAGTTAAATCCTTAAATGTATGTACATAGGTGCATATGTATTTCCTATTATCAAGATACTTAAAGACAATTTTATAAATATTTTTCAATTTATACACTTTGCAAATATTTAATTTTCACAATTTCATGATGTTTTTTTTCCAATGTTTGTATACCGATTTAAAAAATTGAATTAATATTTATTATAAGTTGTGTTATACATAATTTGAAAGGGTAGATGTAAAAGTCTTTTTAAATTTTTTAATGAGAGCAATAAGATCTTAAAAAATTTAAAAAATTTTTAATTAAAAGGTTAAAATTGGCTCATAAGATTTTAAAGATTATATTTGAAAGAAAGTAACTTAAATATAAAAATAAAATAAAGTTTTAAGAGTTTATTAAGAGAACTCTTAATGAAAGTTAAGAGTTCAAAATTTATTTAACGATGTTTAATGTAAAGGACCGTGTTGTGCGAAAATCTATTATACGAGTATGTACATATATAAAAAGGACTAATATAGAATATATGTAATAGTACATAGAACTAAAAATTAGTTTAAAAATTTATATAATAAGGATTTAAAAGTTATTTATTATGCAAATCTGTATCGGTCGAGATAAATGAAGGCATAACAACTGCTCTCAAGTACGCGTTAACTTGGGCTGATGTAGGGTGAAATGTCATACAGTGTAATAAATATCCGCTCAAATTCTATTGAGCTTTATTTATACATATTTTTAATCACTGAAATATAGGAGGTATAACTTTATGTTAATGGCTTCCAGAAAACATATATGAAAGAAAAAAATTTCACTTCACATTATCTCACTATCTAATTATATTTTAAGGCTTTTGTTCCAGGGAAAAATGTCAATTCAGTAGCAAACAGAAAAAATCGTTTATTTTGATTAATAAACTTAAAGTTAATATTCATAATTATTTGAAATTTAATAGCTTAACATTAAACTTATATATACGATGTATGTAATATATGTGATAAAAAAGCCACCCAAAGATTTATTTCTGTTTATAAAGTAAACAAACAAAATTCATTCATGTGTGTTTATTTCAGTTAAATTCATACTTAAGTTTATCTAAAACTTATCGGTAGCTTATTCTTGTTAAAAAATATCAAACGTAAAATGAAAAATAAAAAAAATTAAAAACGGAGCTAATGACCATAAAGTAAAATACATATGAATGTATGTACGCACATGTAGCTCAGAGAAACAATTCTTTTACATTATACGGCTATTGGTTTATTAGCATACTATATTAAGATAGTAACTGCAACATAATCTTTAAATATAATATATACACAAATATATATTATTATTATAAAATAGATATTTAAATATATGTGTATACATAATTAGATATTTATATGTATGTGCATTACAATTCTGCTGGTAGCCATGAAACTTAATGAAATATAGTTCGTCGTTTCCTCGAAAACTGGCTTGGAGGAAAATTTTAGACAAGATACAGTAACTGTCATACTTTAAATAAAAGCAGTATATTGCAATATAAAAATTTTTGGAACCTTTACACGTATTTTCTGTAACAAATAACCAGCATTCAAATTGACAGCTTTTTTGTTTAGAATTAATCTTGAAAATAACATACTTTTGATCTCAGAAGGTTTTATTCGTTAATTATATTTCCTATAAGTTTTATTTGTATGTAAGGAATCGAAGCATTGACCATCATAAATGTTGTTATTTCTTATGAAACAATGATTTTTCTCAAAAATTTCACTTCTCAAGTATTAGGCACTATTTTTCGATCATTTTTGTTGAAAAAGCTATTTTAAACTATTTGGTACAATATATGGTAGTGAAATTGTACGTTTGAAGTGCCTGTTTTACGCGCAAAAATAAAATATCTTTTTCGAATTAAAGGAATTTTTTGCTTAATTTTTTAAATTTTATTTTGGGAATTAAGATTCGAAAAATTATCAATTCATTTTGCAGAACTTTTTTTTTATTCGTGTGAACTCGTTTTCACTTTGAATAAATAAAATCTATTAACTACAAGATGATTTTACATTGTTATCAAGGAATTTCAAAACCCCGTTAACAATACTAATATTATTTTGTAATTTACCTTTGTAAAATAATTTGAAATCTGCAAAAATAATAGTATATATTTCAACGCAATATGTAAAGATAGAATATATTTCAAGTTAATTACACTTGAATTACTTATATTCCAAATTTTGAATTCCCGGAGGTTAAAACACAAATGTTTCAAAAATTGAATGTACCAATTTTTTTTTAAATTTTATTGGATCTTGAACAACCTAAAAATAAATTCGGAGAAAAAAATAGTGCTTAATATTTTTTTTTTTGGGACTTGGAAAATTTCAATGATTGTAATAAATACATATAAAAAATTTTAATTTCACATTTTTTTTATTGAGTTTAACAATTCTTAGTACTTCTTTTTAGCAATTTCTGTTGCTTCTCTCATTTAATGACCATTATTTACAAATTTTCACAATTTTATCTTACACATTAAATACATAGATATAAGTTTTTCTTTAATAACTATTTTATTATGTATAAATTTTTTTTTGTTTTTGGGTTTTTATTTTTTATATAGTATAATAAGATGTATTTATTTCTTAAAAAATGTAATAAGAAGATTTTCATTGAGATTAAAAATGCAATCTTCTATTACTTTAAACATTTTTGTATGAAAAGTTCTTGTTTATTACTTTGTTTTGATAATTTTTTTGATAGTCTTATAATTTGCAAAATATGTAAAAAAAAGGTTTTTGTTCTCAATTTTTGCAAATTTTTGAACAATTTTTGTATCACTTCTATACATTATTTTCTTATATTACAAAAATACTATTTACATGTAACATAAGTCTTAACACAACCTGGATATCGTTCACAAAAATTTTCTTAATAATTAAAATTTAATAAAACTAATTGTCAAAAAAGGGTTAATAATTAAAGATTATGTATGTGTACAAAAAAAAAAACTATATTTTAAAGTTATACATTACTCGAAATAAAAAGAAATAGGTACACAAATTTTAAATTTTCTTTAAATTACTTTCCTTTGAAATCTTAATTGACTTTCAAAAAGATATCAAAAATTTTTCTTACAACTAAATAACATTTTCGCAGTAGTTCTAAGAATTAAAAAAGTGAAAGATATTAAAGTACTATGCAAAATAATATATTTGTGTAATTTTATGAAATAACTAAAGAAAGTTGTAATAAAATTTTAAATTTCAAAAATTTACTTATCTTTACTGGAAGAAATTTTACAGTTTTCGTAAAATAATTAGACTTTTATTATATTTTCCTTATTTGAAGATATATGTATATATTTGTGTATATGAGTTCACATATTCAACTTTAATGTAATACAAGCAAAAAAAGAACAAATATATGACGTGCTTCAAATTTTAATTTTAGTATGTTTTTTTTTTAATTTAATTCTTTACTCAATGTTGCATTTTCTTTTGTCTCTGATAACGTGTAAGTGATTATCATAATCTCTAAACAACACATCAATATATGCATGTACTTAAATTTTGAAATAAAGTAATCACCATACAAGTATATTTAATTGCAACTTTGTTGAAGTTAAGAAAAATTCTACAGTAACAAACAATTCCAATAAAAATAATATACAGCTCAGATTTTAATGAGATTTATTAGGTATGTGTTAAGGTCAAAAGTAAATGACATTATAATACCTATTGCGAATCTATTAAGCTTCAGATAGTTCAAAATGTTTTAGAGATAATATTTTTTATTTGTATTAATATTTATTGTGTTACACCGAAAATTATAAAGTAAAATTTGATAAGTTGCAAAGATATACCTATTTAATTAACGAGCTGTCCAAGTGCAAAATGTTACTTTAGTTTCCTCTGCTTAGAAAAATTAAAATAGAAAAGTTCAATATAAATAAGCAACTATATAACGCAACAGCGGGCTTACAGTGAAACGAAAATTTTTAAAATTTAATTTTATGGAAATATTTATGTAAAACATAAAATAAATAAAAATTATCTTACAATATTTGAGAAAATTTCGCAAATGAAAAAGATATATTAATATTTCCCCCACAGCAAAGGATTTTTTAAATAAATTTAAGATATTTTAATATCGATTCCATTGATTTTGTTGCTGATTGCCATATTGTCGTCATACATAAAATTCAGGCGAACTTTGTCCATCTGAATGTAAATCTTGAGTTTGACCTACTTGTTGAGCTGCTATTTTCAATTGCAGTCTTTGTTTAAGTAAATCTCTTTCATGCATAACTCTACTTAGTTCGATTTTCATTTTTTGAAGATCGCTATTTAAAATTCTATTTTGCTTTTCCAATTCATGCCGCTGTTGTAAACGTTTAGAGCGACAGTTTTGTGCGTAGCCTCGATTTTTTAGCGTTCGACGCTTTTGTTTGAGTCGAACTACTTGTTCTCGAGGACAACCATGCAATCTCTTATTGAGTTCTCGCACTGTTAAAGATGTTAGAAGCTCATCATTGATAATGTCATCAGCATTTGTATAACTTGAATTACTATATTGTCCAGATGACGTTCTTGGCGAATTAGTTGATGAACGTGTCGAACAAACTGACATTGGGCGACCGTTGTGAATAGGCTGGTTATTATTCCCATTAGTATTACTGGGTAAGGTGCTATGATGATGATGATGATGGTGACTATGTGAACTAGTGTGTGTAGTATGATGATAAGAATGCATGTTAATTGGCGTTAAATGTTCCAGCTGCTGAAAATGATGCGGTTGTAAATTATTCAAATGATGTCCGTTTGACATTCCTGTACTGTTTACATATTCGCGATGTCGTTCCCAATCTTCTTCTTGGAGCAGTGTTACAGCTGCAGTGGCACAGTTTATAGGTCTGAGATCTAAAGGTGGACGTAAATCTAAAGGTTGAGGTTGATGTTCTGGTCGCATAGTTTGTGATTGTACTAACATCATCTCTTGTGAAAGTGGAGTTGTTAAATTATTTCGATTCATGTGAATATAGGATGTACTTCCCGCAGTAGAAAAACTTTGTGAATTACAATAACCATTGGGAGAACCGACAATGGGTGGTGTTTCTGGCGGGGTGGATGGTACTCCGGTTATAGCATTGTCAACTAAAACTGCCTGTCCAGCCATTGGACCATGAGGGTATAAGTTCACAGGAGATAATGTTTGAAAACGTCTTTCCTCATGATGCCATGACGGAGGAGGCAACGATGTTGTAGAAACTGGCGTTGTAACAGTAATTGCAGTGCCAACAGTTGAAAAATTATGCGTTTGAAATTGCTTCATTTTAGCTATAGGAATTTCTTCTTCTTCATTAAGCGCAGTCCATGCAAGTTTCGATGGCGGGCTTTGGTCTTCCCGCTTTACCGAAGTTGGTGGTTCATCTAAATGGTCAAGAACGAAATCTTGCACGTACTCCTCAGCAAGATGTGGATCTTCCATTTTTTTTTTGACGTGTATATATTTAAATTTTTTCTTGAATTTTTTTCTTTGGTTTTTTTTAAATGCTTGATTTGAATTTTTTGGTAGTGATTAATTAATTTTTAGATATAAGTTTTATGTCCTTTATTTTGATTTTAACAAATCAATGTTTTAACATCACAATTTTTGATTTTTTTTTTGTTATATATGTATATATTAATGCTTTAATGCACTGATTATTTTAAATTGGTATACATTTTTTCACACAATAATCTTCAAAAAATTTACATAATATATATATTTTTTTTATTTCATTTTTATTAAAATTTCATATATGTATCTATGTATTCATTTATATGTACGTGATTTGTGAGAAAATTTTTTCAATTAATCTTAAAAGCACTTTTCAATAACATTTTTTTCTTAAAAAAAAAAACATAAAAAAAATAATATTACAAAAAATTTTATGTATACCACATTACAATTATCTACAAAATTGTATAACTGTCGATTAAAACTATAATTTCGCGAATAAATTCTATCCTGTTTAACTAAAAGATATAAATTGATTAATATTTTTAAGGTGTTAACAACACAGCAGAAGTTCGAGAATAAATTTCACATATATATAATGTAGTTTTGTAGATATATTTTATATATATAATAAGTACTATAACAGTCAAGTATTATATTTATTTAACATTTGTACTTGTATGTGTGTAAAAAAGCTTTATTTATATTTTTATGCAATTATTTCGTTCGTCGAATTTTCTCTTGCAACTTAAATAATGTCCCTTGACTTTCAAATAAATATTCGTCGTCAATTGATAAATTGTACAATAGGATAAAAACTAATGCAAACAAAGGGCTTTAAATTATATCACAAATATCACTAAGTTATTGTATATGCAACGTATATTATAATATATAACTAGCAAGTAAAGTGTATAAATGTTTTCATGAAAAAGAAAAATAATGAAAAACTAAGTGAAATAAATAATTTTATATCACCAATATTTTTTTTTATTGCCATCACAATTCAAAAAAAAGGTACATTAAAATAAATATTTACATGCTATTCTAATTATTCTAACTGAATCAAAGATGAAAAATGTACTGAAATATGTATCACACAAAAGGTGAAATTCCAAATCTATCGCCAAATCAAAATCTAAAGCTTTTTCTTACACTATTATATTACATATGTACGTTCATACATTATGTATTCAATTTTCATTTCTTACTCGACTTTATTTTGTTATATGGATAAGTTCCTTAGGGCGTATAAGTACATATGTATATATTCGACTTGTTTATAACTAAATCTCCATATAATATTTTACATAAAGATTTTATAAGCAAATAAAAAGCCTTAGTAAGTCACAAAGTATCATATTTTTATGTAATTTCATGTATAGACGGATTATTCAGCTCCGCCCATTTACAGTAAATAATTTTAATGCTTTAAAATTTTATGTGTTGGTCTCACTAAGAAAGAGTGTTAGAATGCCAACATAGAAATTATTTGAACTTGTAAGCTTTGAGGATATCGAAATTATTTTCATCCAATCTTTTTGTAATATTAAAATATCCTAATATAAAATTTACGAGTTGCGCAATATTTTCAAAATGTTTAAAAAGTTTGGGGTATTGAATTTTTAAATGAGTTATATGTTTGTGTATGTACATAAAAAAGAAATATACAAAAAGTTGATTTACAAGAAAGTAAATAAAGTACATATTATATAAGTAAATCCGAATAGAAGCTTTTACACCATGTTCAGCCTCTTTGAATATTCAGTGTTTGCGATAATTATATATAAAAAAATTTAAACTATTAAATTAAAAAACTTTATAATAAATACAATTATGTAATAAGTATCAATTTAAGGTATCGTTAAATATAATATAATTTTAAACACGTGATTCATTATTTTCTTTAGTAAAACAAAATATGTATAACACAAAATCAGAATTTTTAGTTCTTCTTGTAAATGCATAAACAACCCGACAAAAGTTTAGAAAACTTACAATTTTTTTCTTGTATAATACTTTAAATTGTTACAGGAACAAATTTTTTAATTATTATTAAATTATTTTCATTAATTTACAAATTCATAATTCATAATACATAATGTACGTATCGGTAGACTTATCTATCTTAATCACCTTGTCACATTCAATTATAAAAACATTTTTGTTCAGCAATATTTGCATATTTTAGCCTATAATGGTACTTCTTACCAACTTAGGTTTTGTATATACTTATTATACAAATATTTTGTTGTTTATGCAACAGCTGCAGAAAAAAAACATTAATTTTGCTGACAAGTCTGCAGCAGAACTTAAGTAAAACTACAAATTAAAATAGATTTCTTTGTGCAGTAAAGGAATAAAGACAGGGTGCGAACGTAGTGCTTACTTACGAATCCAATCAAGAATTCAACCTAACATATATGAACACGATGTATAGCTGAGTTTTTATATTTTATTATTTAAAGTTTAATAACTAGAACCAGAACATATTAAACTTATTTTTTAGGCATGCTTGTCGTACTTAAGTATGAAATTATGGTAAATTGAGTTTTTCATAACAAAGAAGTAATGTACAAAATATATGTAAAATCAATTAAAACGCAAAATTTTCAAAAATAAGTATTGGATATGATTATTCAAATTAATCTTTTTATTTTACACGATACACACTCTTTTTTGTTTGCTTTTTTTTGACTATTTTAAGTTTTAACAAATCAAGGAAATATTTTACTTATTTGGACTCCTGATCATGCGGAAATATGTGGAAAAGAACTAGCAGATAAAGAAGTTAAATTTGCGTCAAACGCTTCTCGACACACTATTTTCACAGTTTTGTTAAAAAAAACTATTACGTAATAATGAAATCACTTAAAACTGAAATTACTTAAAAATAAGAACCTTTTAACTTAAAAAACAAAAATCCTAGAATCTTTTCGAATCTTTCCGAATTCGAATTCTTGATATTTTAATCTTTGGCGATAAAAAATATCAAGAATTCGAATGTAACTACATGAGTTTCTTTTTAAAAAATAATTCTTTCATATGTACTGTCAAAACAATTCAAAATTTTAAACATGCTTTTTCAAATTGTTCAGAAACACAGCGACTCTGGCATTATTAGGACCTCTCGCCATTAAAAGTTTTGACGAAAAATGATTACAACATCACGATTATCAAAAAATTCCTGCAACCCTTTAATCTGTGGTCTGATACTTAAATTTAAATACAAATATGTCTGTAACCTACTTATAACTCACTGTAAAAATACCTAGACTTTCAAACTTATATATGTATATATTTAAAAAATTGTTATTAAATTCAATAAAATTAATTTAAAATATAAATTAAGCAAAAGCCTCGTTAATTTGATATTATAACTTTAATTATTATTGTATATTACAAAATATATTATTAATTGGTAAACAAGTCGAAAGTCTAAGGGTCCTTTGTTAGTACAATTACATTTATGTAGTGTATTGTAGAAACAATAAATAAATAAACAATAAGCCTTTATAAAAATGTCTTTTACGTGATATTATAATAACATTATAATTTTTAAGCAAATTGATTTGATATTTTAAAATATCTTACTAATATTTCGAGAAAATCCTTGTTAGAAAAAAGGACGCAAAAAAAAAAAATTAGTTTTCAATTGAAGGTGAGAAGCAACTAAAAAAGATGACTGAAGAAGTAAGGTGCAGAATAAGTTAAATAATCTTCATTCTCAATTCCCGTAATATTAGCGATTTTTTTAATTGACTTAAAATCAATTAATCACAATAAACACTACTACAGACGTTTTTTTTCTACTTAAAAATTTCTGAATTAAACATTTTTCAATAAAACTGCTGCACAATTGTTCACGCAGTTGGTACTTCATAGATGATTTGACTTCTTTGCGTATAACCTAATGATTTTTAATAAAATCGAAATTATTATACCGTTTATATTTTAGAGGAAGAGAGAGATGTATAATTTTGAAATTAAATAATTAATTACAACATTTTGACTAAAGTTTAACTTACCCGTGAATTTGAGTATATACGTGAGTACATAATACATACATACATATATCACAAATATTTGATAAGTTAAGTTTTGATCACCCATTTTATTATTTTTTATGACTTTTGATAAATTTATTTTATTTTGAATTTTTTTATTGTCCTACTTGGGTTTACCTTTTATATATGTACGAGTTTGTATATACATAGATTTCAGTCAACCACCGCATGTCATTATATCAAGAAGCTAAATGAATTGTAAATTATTGAGTAAATTTAATATACCAAAAGAATATAATATAGCTGTGCGACAACAAAAGAAAAAAATTAAATAAAATAAAAAACTAAATCCTTGGAGAGTCTTTAACATTTCAAATCTCTACAGATTAATGTAATCCTGTTTGGAAAGATGAAATGCATATAAAAAGGGGTCAATATAATTTGTTTTATTGCAACGGTATACACATGTAAAAATTTTTTTTGTAAATAAAGTCATACTTAAACAAAGCATTAAGTAAATGTGACATTACAGGACGTTCTACAGATTGAAGGGCGTGTGAGGTAATAAAAAAAAATGAAAAATTTCTTATGTACGGAGCAGTGGAAAGACAAAAATAAAACTTTATTTTACATGCAACGAAAGGATATACATTTAAGAAGGAAATAAGAGAAATAAACATGTTTTGCTTTTCTTTATCAATATTATAAAAAAATTATTTTGATAAGATTCTATGAGAAATTATTTAACATGATAATATTAATGAAAGTTTATCTATTATCAAATAAATTATCAGAAGCTAACAAATTACTTCTCATCAGTACATACACATATGTACGTTAAACTTTTAACTTGATTAAATTTCTATATGAGCGAATGATTATAAGATTTTAGAAATGTTTATGTACATACCCATACATATATTATGCACATATGAAGAAGTTTATATAGGAAAATTTCTTTTAACATATCATCATCCATTTACACTGCAATGTATAGTTTCAAGACTGTTTTAACTCTATTGATATTAAATTAATTCAATTCAATCTAAAGACAGGTAGTCCGCATCCTAGTCCAAAAATATTAAAGTGATTCGTTTCCGGCTTATTGTATATTCTTTATACCTCGTTCAGTTTAAATATAAATTAATTTTTTTATTGATTTTTTACTCAAATCGAAAGAAATTTTCTTTACAAAAATTGAATTTCAAAAAATTTCATTAGATTCAGTGTATTTTCAAAGCTACGTCCAATTTTTTACATAAGAACAATCCAAACCATTTTATCTTTTACTAAAATTTAGAGGAAGTGGTTCTCTGCTATACGAGTATTCAAGTAATTATTTGTTTTTGTACTAACGATCCCACAAATTGTGCTTATTGTGATTTATAATCAAAAAACATTACAAATATTTTGTTTTTAAATATTTTGCTGGAAGTTTTTCAAATAATTCAGAAATAATTTCGGGATGTTTTTTATTTAAAATTTAATTTTTTTTATGTTTTGATTAAAAATTCTTACTTAAATTTTCGCTAAAATTGTTTTTTTGTAATTTTACAAAAACATAAATACTGTTTCAATATTGTTTCCTTTTTTTTTAGATATTTCATATCTGGGCATCTATTGCTTAAATCGTTCTTCAGAATGACTTTCAAACTAGATTAAAAAGTCTAAAACTTCCGTCCGTAGCTCTTCAAAATACAACCTATAGCATTTTTTCAAACTATCTATGTATACAAAAAAGAAAATCTAAATTCAGACTTTTATAATTGAAACAACATTTTATTTTCTAATACACTTTATTTATTACAGGGATGCTATACTCGTATTACAAAAGAAATAATTAAAACTTATTTAAAAAAAGAGCTTTGAAACTGCAATATTTTATATCTAAATTTTTTGTTGTTATCAAAAAAACTAATATTTTTATGGAAATGATAACATTACCGAACTCTTAAACAACGTTATATTATAAGTAAATTTTGTCGAACTGCTTAAGAAACAGAATTTAAAAAATACTTATTGAACTTATCATATTATAAAATTTTCATATTTGTTGAAGAGCAT